CTAACAGGACTCGCCCCTCTCGCACGTCTCCGACCTACAACGGTGTCACCGCCTTTCACCACCGCTGATCCCCCTCCCTTCCCCTCTGGCATCTTGCCGGAGGGAGTGGGGATCCATCGTTTTTATAAGTTTTTCTATTAGATTGAGTTCTTAGGGTTAGGGTTTCTCCATACCAAATTCATTGATATTGGAGATTTGTCTCATTCTCCGCTCCGGCGACGGCGAAGGAGAAGGGTGAAATTGTTTTCTCCATGGCGGCTCTGCTGAAGATGAGGGCGACAACTACGGCGCAACAACTTCACCGTCGTGACGACATGGAGACCTTTCTTTTCGGACGACGACATCAAGGTGGAGATGATGTCGCCGCAATGGAATAATTTTCTCCGGTCTCATCTCCGTTTTGTTGTGGTTCAATCTGGTCATGATGAAGGACAAGGGAGAATAATTTTCAGATTAGTCTTCCTCATTCTTCGGTGGCGGAAAGAAGAAGAAGGAAGACACCATAAAGAAGTTTATCAAGTCTGTCTACATGAGTGTTGGCCGTCGTTCGTTGAGCATATGTTCTCAGGCCTTTTGCCGAGTTTTTGCTTGTGCGATCATCCATACTGAAAAGCGTCGTACATGTTTGGTTTTGAGATTTGGAGCTATCCACAGCGTGGGTAAAACTTAGATGAAAATCAGTTTCTGGATGTTTATGTAATCCAGATTGCTTGTAACGTGTTGATGTATCCATCTATTATCTAACATAATTCTTCTTTCGTCGCAAAAAAACTCCTAAGGGCCTGTTTGGAATGCAGGAATATAAAATAAAGGAATAGTAAAAAATACAGGAATAGAATAGAGCGAAAAAGCAGAAAACTACGGGATTTAAAAACACGGGAATAGAAATTTTCGGTGTTTGGATTGCAAGAAAACAAAAATGTTACATGTACCAAAGAAGCAAGGTTCCATGCTTGAGAACTTAAGAAAACATTGTAGGATTTTTTTCCTTTAGGTTTCTTTGGATACTTTTTTTTCCTATGTTTTGTGAAGCAAAGGTTACCCTTTCCTTTGGAAAGGAATGCAGGTTTCCTTGGTTCAAACAGCATGTTTAGAAAACTTTCGGATGGAATTCATTCTTTTGCTTTTCCTTTGGAAATCCTCCATTCCAAATAGGCTAAGTCCTGACAGCTTCCTAGCTCAGATTAGATGCACTGTATACAAATATGCAACCTACCCCCCTCCGCCTGAGGGAAGTGTGCCCCTGAAACCTTCTCATGGCGGAAGCGATGACAATTTTCTGCTTCTCATTGCTGTTCTTCTGCTCCCATGCTCTGGTGTCTGCAGGAAGCAGCAACGCCTCGACCGAAGAGCTTGCGCTACTCGCCTTCAAGTCCCTTGCGTTAGAGCTTTGACCCTAGGCCCATATGCTTGGACCTGAAGTGGTTGGCGGCGGTATGGGTCCCCATCGGACGAGACAAAACCCGCGTCCTCGAGGCCGGACGAGACGGAAACCACGTCCTTGGGGTCGGGCGAGACGGAGCCCGCACCCAAGGGGTCGGGCGAGACGAAGCCCGCGGCCTTGAGGTCTGGCGAGACATTTTAATACGTCTCGAACCATCCGGAGAAATCAGCATGGGCGCTAACTTCCTTGCTTTGGATATCCCTAGTATCGATACCCGACAATATTAAAATCTGACCCCTATAATGATTACTTACTCCGAAGAAATTTTAAAGGCTAACAAGATATAGCTACATGTGGTCTGCACTAACCTCCCCCACTTCAAAAGGTGTTTGAATTTTCATATAAAAATTATATGTACACTAATAGTTATATTATTAGTGTATATTTTTCAAACATTTTAGTTAATACTTCCTCCAGAAAAATCCTAGCATTTACTATAAAAATGTTCAATATGAAAATGCTTTATCCTAATGAGAGAAATTTGTATCTTCAAAAGAAAATAGTCCATCTTAAATAAAAAACAATCAGATTTATGAGAAAAATATTTCATCTAATACATAAAAACTTCTTGCTTCTAAAAAATGTAGCTTAAGTAATTTTATTTTTTCTAGAAATGGATCTATTCTGTTAGATAAATGTGAAAGATGTTCCCTCGCTAAATGGTTGTAGGCTTGTAGGTTCAAGGCATAAGCAGGGATGTTCTGACTTGGGTCAACGTACACCATGTTCGCTTGATCGTATCAGCTATGCTTATCAGTAATGATATAGTATTTTTCTCTTACAATAAAACAACATCAGCCGACTTATAAGCCACAAAAATGATAAAGCTAATAGGGTGGTAATCCCAGTCCACAGCTTCCCTAAACTTACATGGCCAACCCCAGTCGTAGAAGTCATCAAACCTACACTGGCCACTTGCTAGAGTTGAATTGCTTCCTCGGCAACATGTTATGGAGTTATATACATGCGCGCGAAGATGAGATCGATGGCAGTGACAGTGTGAGCACCAGAACGAACTTCCAGCCGCCGTCTTTTTACCACATATTGCTACGTGCGAAATAAACCTGCTACTTAGTCGTCGTTGCTGCGGTTTCCAAAGAATCTTTGCTCTTTCTTTGGTTTATTATCATCAAGCGAAGGAACGAACTTGTTTCCTTTTTCGGTAAAGTGTTGTCAAGTTCGTTGGTGGGTGGGGTTGCTTTTGTCCCCACGCCCGCCCGCCCCCCCAAACACGGCTGGACCTGGACTGCTAGCTAGCTAGATGACCAGGAAGGAAACCGACGTACGACTCCTGTACCCAGTCATGTTTCTACTACTTTTCTATAGTGCGAGAAAAGCATCGTCTTGACGTTGACTAGTTGGCCGGGGTGAAGAAGGGTGCACTCGATCGGTTCCACACACATGCATGACATGTCTATTCCAACTTGCGACCCTTTTTTGGGTAAAATATAACATCAATTGCTTCTACGTGGCTTCTAAGGCCATTCACACTCGGACTTCAGCCGTCCTAGCTATTTTAGGGCCTCTTTCTTGATGTTTTGGCAAGGCTCCGTGCTATTTTCTTTCTTTCCTTTTTTGTTTCTTGAATTTTGTGAACTCTGTTGTACCCCTTTTTATCCATTTTTAATTTAAATTCCTGCAGGGGCTTAGCCCCTCCAGTTTCTTAAAAAAAAACAATGGCAAACGTGAGGACCTTAAAAGCTACAATTAATCCCAACAACAATTGAGGACAGCATGACACAAACCAAATACTTCCGCAAAATAAATAAACAGATCCCATTTTATTTAAAAAAATCAAACAAACGAGAATTCCATTGTTCAAAGTTGTGGTGCTAAGTGCAGGCCACCTAGAGAGCCGCCTCTTGCAAGTGGATGGAGTTTCCTGCTTGTCCTCAACATGTTTTTGTTTGCACCCACAGCAAAGAAATACTTAGCCTGTTTGCTTGTTGGTTTCAGTCAGGACTTATCAGACATGGTACAGTGTTTTTCTCTCACAACAAACCAGCACCAGCCGAGCTTATCAGCCCAGAAACCAACTAGCGAACAGGCTGACTGACCAAACTCTGCCAGCTAGATGCCCTCTCCTAGGTCCAAAGTCCTAACAGGACTCGCCCCTCTCGCGCGTCTCCGACCTATAACGCCGTCACCGCCTTCCACCACCGCTGATCCCCCTCCCTTCCCCTCCGGCATCTTGCCGGAGGCCGGAGGGAGTGGGGATCCATCGTTTTTATAAGTTTTTTTAGTAGATTGAGTCCTTAGGGTTAGGGTTTCTTCATGCCAAATTCGTTGGTACTGGAGATTTGTCTCCTTCTCCGCTCTGGCGACGACGAAGGGGAAGGATGGAATTGTTTTATCCATGGCGGCTCTGCTGAAGATGAGGGCGACAACTATGACGTCAGCAACTTCACCGGCTTGATGACATGGAGACCTTTCTTTCCGGACGACGACATCAAGGTGGAGATGTTGTTGCCGCCATGGAATAATTTTCTCCAGTCTCTTCTCCGTTTTGTTGTGGTTGGATCTAGCCACGATGAAGGACAAGGAAAAACAATATGCAGATTAGTTTTCCTCATTCTACGGTGGCAGAAAGATGAAGAATGAATAGCGAACAGGCTGACTGACCAAACTCTGCCAGCTAGATGCCCTCTCCTAGGTCCAAAGTCCTAACAGGACTCGCCCCTCTCGCGCGTCTCCGACCTATAACGCCGTCACCGCCTTCCACCACCGCTGATCCCCCTCCCTTCCCCTCCGGCATCTTGCCGGAGGCCGGAGGGAGTGGGGATCCATCGTTTTTATAAGTTTTTTTCTCAAGTCCGTCTACATAAGTGTTGGCCGTCGTTCGTTGGGCATATTTTCTCAGGCCTTTTGCCGAGTTTTTGCCTGTGCGGTCATCCATACTGAAAAGCGTTGTATATGTTTGGATTTGAGATCTGGAGCTATTCACAGCGTGTGTATAATTTAGATGAAAATCAATTTCTAGATGTTTATGTAATCCAGAGTGCTTGTAACATGTTGATGTATCCATCTATTATCTAACGTAATTCTTCTTTCATCGCAAAAAAAGTCCTGAGGGCCTGTTTGGAACGCAGGAATATAAAATAAAGGAATCGTGAAAAATATAGGAATAGAATAGAGCGAAAAGCAGAAAACTACATAATTTACAAACACGGGAATAGAAACTTTGGGTGTTTGGATTGCAGGAAAACAAAAATGTCACATGTACCCAAAGAAGCAAGGTTCCATGCTTGAGAACTTAAGAAAACATTGTAGAATTTTTCGTTTAGGTTTCTTGGATACTTTTTTTTCCTATGTTTTGTGAAGCAAAGGTTACCCTTTCCTTTGGAAAGGAATGCAGGTTTCCTTTGTTCAACAGCATGTAGAAAAAACTTTCCTATGGAATTCATTCTTTTACTTTTCCTTTGGAAATCCTCCGTTCCAAACAGGCCAAGTCCTAACAGCTTCCTAGCTCAGATTAGATGCATTGTATACAAATATGCAACCTACCCCCCTCCGCCTGAGGGAAGTGTGCCCCTGTAACCTTCTCATGGCGGAAGCGATGACAATTTTCTGCTTCTCATTGCTGTTCTTCTGCTCCCATGCTCTGGTGTCTGCAGGAAGCAGCAACGCCTCGACCGAAGAGCTTGCGCTACTCGCCTTCAAGTCCATGCTGTCAAGCCCATCCAAGAGCTTGCTGACATCATGGAACACTTCAAGTCACTACTGCAGCTGGACAGGAGTTGTCTGCAGCCGTCGGCAACCAGAGAGGGTGGTCTCCCTGCTCATGGGCTCCTTCAACCTTTCAGGGCGCCTATCGCCATTCCTGGGCAACCTGTCATTTCTCCGGAAGCTGGACCTTCATGGCAACCAATTTGTTGGGCAGATACCTCCGGGGTTCGGTCAACTCAGTAGGCTTCAGATGCTCAACCTGAGCACAAACACTCTCCATGGAAGCATTCCTGAGGCCATGGGAGGCTGCACCAACCTCACTACACTTGACCTGAGCAATAACCTGCTGCAAGGTGAGATCCCAACTGGCATAGGTGCCTTGAAGAATCTTGTGAATTTGAGCCTTCATATCAATGGTTTGTCAGGAGATATCCCTCACTCTCTTACAAACTTATCTTCGATCAAACACTTGTCTTTGAGCAACAACAGATTGTCAGGTGAGATACCACCAGACCTGGGTAACCTTTACCAATCTTCAGGTTCTTGACCTCGGTCACAACATGTTGTCCGGAGCTATTCCTTCATCGTTGGGCTTGTTGTCCCAGTTATCTGAGCTCATCTTAGGATATAACAATTTAAGTGGGTTGATCCCCCCTTCTGTTTGGAACATCTCCTCTCTAACAGGGTTTTATGTCTCGCAAAAATATGTTGAGTGGAACAATACCTCCAAATGGATTCAGTACTCTTCCTCATCTACAGGTCATAGGTATGGACAACAACCAGTTTCATGGCAATATTCCCACCTCAATTGGTAATGCATCCGATTTTTGGCTAGTTCAGCTCGGTGCTACTTTGTTAAGCGGCATTGTGCCCCAGAGATTGGTAGGTTAACAAAGCTCAAATTCTTAAATCTCATGTATGCTTTCTTTGAAGCTGAAGAACCCAAGGATTGGTAATTTTAACCACATTAACGAATTGCACCCAGTTGCAAGTTATAGGTTTGAGTTATTGCAGGTTGGCAGGCGTCCTTCCAGATTCAATCTCCAATCTTTCCACTTCGTTAACATCCCTCACCATTGAACACAACTCAATTTCAGGAAGCCTTCCTAGAGATATTGGTAATCTCTTTAACTTACGAGCTCTGTATTTGGCCCAGAACTCTTTTACAGGAATCATTCCTTCTTCCTTTAGTAGGCTTACAAATTTACAAATGCTGTCTTTGTGGGACAATAAGTTTGCGAACACAAGGTTGACAAGTACCCTTTGTGTGTTCGTTTTGTGATGAGTGATTGTCAATGTGATCCACGAAGTAGGTTGAGTGGTGACTAACCCTACCATGGCGAAAGCTATGTGTGCGACATGTCTTTTGGCTTGTGTTGTGCAGGTGTGGAGCTCGGATGCGGTGGTCGATGGCGAGGTGAAGGTCAAGGAGGACGTGCTGCGTCCGACAGCACGGGAGCGGTGAAGGACGGACGTGAGGCTTGGACCGAGGGACCCAGAGGCCGGGTGACTAGTCATGTGGTGACACTTGGGACATCAACAAGTGCAAGAAGACATGGGGTGACGGTGTTGATCGGGTCAAGACGGCGGACGCGTGAGTCGAGCGAGGCTCGGGAGGACTTGGCGGGGCGGGCCGGTCGAGGACGGCGTGACACGCGCGCCGGATGGCGGGGATGCGTATGGAGTACGCTACTCGCGGACGGTTTGATGGTTTGGACCTCAAAACCATCGGATGGACGGTTTACGGGTTTGGGCCTCAAAACCCGGGCGGAGGTTCCGAGGAGGGACGGACGGCACGTGGCGGCATCGGGGAGTTCGCGTCGAGGCGAAGCTACCGATGAGAAGGCGCGGTGGCCGCCGGATCAAGATTACACGGGTTGAACAACAACGCCCTTGGGCTTAGCGGTTCAACTCATTTGTATCCAGGGGCAAAACGGGAATGTGTAATAGCCCTGTTATATAGGATGAGGGAGCCCCCATCTCCCTTACCTCCTCCAGTTTTCATTTTCTCCTTTAGGGTTTCTTCCTCTAGTTTGCTTCCATGTATGAGAGAGGTCCACAACTCAAATTGTGACTTGGTTTTGAAGGAATCGGTGGCCGTAACCACCGTATGTCCTCCGGGATTCATGATTTAGTTGTGTTCTTGATGTGATTTTGGTGTTCTTCACGAGCTCCTTTTGTCCCTTCTTGTTTCCCCTCTCGTTTCTTCGATTTGGGATGGTTTCGGTTCGTTCTTGTTGCCTTGGATCGATCAGTGACATGAGTAGAAGCTTTCCACCGAAGGAAATCCACTAATTCCTCACGAGATCGCAGATCCGGGCAATTTTAGTTCTTGACCTATTTTTTGGGGTTTTCTTTAATTCCTTCGATTCACGGAGTTAGAGTTTGTCTCGGGCTATGATCTTTTAGAGGTTGCCTTTCTACTCGCTTGTGAACTCTTGTGCAAAGTTTCAAGTCATTTGGAGTTGATTTGATCAAGTTATGGCTTGATTTAATTTTTCCCGAGAAACTGCTCGTTCATACCGGACGTGTCCGATATCATACCGGACGTGTCCGATATTTCTCACTTTGGAGTTTTGAGCTGAAATTTTGTGGAGATCTTCCCTTGGTGTCTAAAGAGCTATGGTTAAAATTTCATGATTTTTGGACACCGTTTGATGGGGTTTCGGATTTTTCTCTTTTGGTCAGCTTGCTGCTGAAAATCCCGGACGTGTCCGAGATCATACCGGACGTGTCCGAAAATACCGGACGTGTCCGATATAATACCGGACGTGTCCGATATTTGCAGAAGCAGTGCTGTTTTATTTTGGGAGTTTGCTCGTTTGGGCTTCGATCTGTGGTCCGTTTGCTCTGTGGTGACCCGCTGTGTTCTGAGGGAGCATCCACCCTTCTCTAGGGTCGCGGTCATCAAGTCTTTCGTGTATGGTTTTTGGGGATTGATATTGGGACAGTGGTCGAAGATTTCGAAAGAAATTTGCGGCTCCCATTCACCCCCCCTCTGGTCGCCGTTTCCGGTCCTTCAATTGGTATCAGAGCCGGTTAAGGATCATTCCACCTTAATCGGTCCGTGATCCACGAAGGCGACATGGAGCGTGGTTCTGGCAAACCACCGCACTTCGATGGGTCCAACTATCCTTATTGGAAGATCCGCATGTCTGCGCATCTCCAGGGGATTGATTGGCTCGTCTGGGAAATTTGCGAGGATGCTACTTACGTTGTGCTCCCTGTCGCGGCCCGTACCACCCAGGATCACAAGGATCGGCACAACGCAAATAGCAAAGCTCGCAGTGTGCTTTTCTCGAGTCTTTCGCTTTCTGAGTTCGAGCGTGTCTCCGATTGTACTACAGCTCGAGAGATCTGGGTGAGGCTTCAGAGCTATCATGAGGGGACCGCACAGGTCAAGACCAGACTCTATGAGACGTACAAGCGCGAGTACGAGAACTTCTCTCAGCTTGATGGCGAGTCCATCGATGCCATGTTTTCCCGCTTTCAGACTATCGTCAACAAAATGAAAGCGAACAAGGCCAACCTACCTTATAGTGATCATGAGAGAGCGCTCAAGCTTCTCTATGCCCTTGATCGAAAGGTATGGGATGTGAAGGTGTCGGCGATCATCGAGTCCGCCAACTATGACACCCTCACCGTCGACGAGCTTTTCAGCAAGCTTAAGTCCACAGAGATCGACTACCAAACTCAAGCCAAGCTCAAGAATCCTTCCGCACCAACCATGGCTTTGGTCTCAGGTAGTGGTTCAAGTTCTTTGACTAACCCTTCACAAGCTTCTTTCTCTTTGTCGTGCTTGATGTCAGTCACAGAGGAGCAGCTGGAGTCTCTTGGAGATGATGAGTTGGCACTCGTCATCAGTCGGTTCTCTCGGTTTCACAACAACCGTTTGAACCGCCGACGCAGTGGTGGCCCGAAGGAGGGATGCTATGGATGTGGAGATCCGGACCACTTCGTCGCGCACTGCCCCAAGAAGAAGACCTTCGCCAACAAGTACGACTCCGGCAAGCGCAAGGATAAACGCGACTACACCTCCGGCAAGCACAAGGCCAAGGGCGGCTTCGACAAGGAGGCGATCAAGAAGGCGTACCGCAGGAAGGCCAAAGCTCAAGAACGCGCCTTCCTCGCCTCCCTCAGCGACCTCGACGACGACTCCGACGATGATCACTCTTCTTCTTCCTCGACCGACGATGAGTCCGAGAAGAAGCGCGAGGACAAGCTCAACGGTCTCTGCTTTGTCGCCGGCGCAAACCGTGGTGGGTTTTGCACTATGGCGATTGACGGTGGAGCAAAGCTCAAAAAGGACGTCGACGACGACGAAAACGAGGTACCGCCCACACTTGACTCACTCATGCTTGAGCTTGATACTATGAATGATACATTGATGAGTCAAGATAAGTTGCTTAAGCGTGCTGCCCGTGAGAGAAAAGAGTTTAAGGACCAGCTAGAGGTTGCTTTGAAGGAGTTGGAGCTTGCCAAGAGTGGTGTAGTGGTGTCAGAGGAGGAGTGCGATGAGTGCGCTATACACATGTCTAACCTCTCTGACTTGCAATCCAAGTATGCTGTTTTGCTTGATGAATGTGATGAGCTGAAGTCTCGTTCTGGGTTGCTCAGTGCATGCAAGTCCTGCTCAGGCTTGCAATCTGAGTTGGCAGAGAAGGTTGCCAAACTTGCTGAGTTTGAGAAGGCCAACTCAGATAGCACCACCACTACATGTGTTCGATGTGAAGCTTTGGTGTTGGAGCTTGAGTCCTGTAGGCATGACAAGATGGGAACCGAGGAAGAAAACACACAACTTCGGTCCATCTTGAGCTGGGTGTCGTGCAGTGAGCCCCAGTTGGGCATGATGGTGAGCCAGTTCAGGCGGAGAACTGACTCATCGGGAGTAGGCTTTGCTATAGGTGGGAAGGGTGAGCATGTCTATGGCAAGGTTGGTGAACATAGTGGTTTGAACCCAAATGAGAAACCCACCAACACTCCCAAATTGATCAAGATCCCCTCACCAGAGCCTACCAAGCCTATGATCAAAGATGGTGTGTTTGAAGAACCACCAAAAGCTCCACCATCCAAACAAGTTTGGGTTCCCAAACCGAACCACTTTTGGAACTCACTCGATACTCTACCCAACATCTCTAGTGCACCCCTTCCTAAAGCCAAAAAGCCTCAGAGAGTGAGTCAACCACCACCCAAAGAGAGAGGTGAGGTACCACTTGTGACTATTGCCATAGAGATGGTCATTTGGCTGAGTTTTGCTTTAGGAGGAAGAGAGATGAGCATGCGAGTATGAGTTGAACAACCGGAACATGTACCGGCCCTCCACATGGCGTACATGTACCACCTGCTCAGAGGCACAATGTTAGGCCTAGAGGTGCAATGCCTCAAGGTGCTAGGGCCTCAGTGGCGAGACCACGAGGTGGTGTGTGCCTTGGCGTGGCCCAAGTCATGATCGATATGACTTTGGACCTCGCATGACCGTGGTTTTCGATCCCGCACTCCTAGCGGACCACGTTTTTCCCCCACGTGGTGATCGCTTCTCTCCAATGG